ATCCACTTGGAGGGTTTTTATTTTGGTTTTACCCCCTTTTTCCTTTTTGTTTAGTCTTTGCCTTAATTGCTTCATTATGCTTTCCTAAATGTAAAGCACAGGCAATTGCTGGGGGTTGATGTGAAGAGAAAAACAAGACACTTTAAATGATGGAAGTGTGGAAAGAATGAAGATAGGGAGTGCAGAAGTACAGGAAAAGCCTTTTAAAACCAAGGCAAAGTTCAAAGGAATAATTTTTTGAGCACACAGGCAATGTAAGTTATAATTGTTAAGTCCGTTATGTAATTGTCAGGAGGGTAAGTTCAAAAATTCCATAATAATTCAGAAAAAAAAGAAACTTCAGGAAAATATTATTCCAAATAAATGCAATCTTAATAAATTTCTGTACATTTCAAATAGAAGAATCACTCCAGCCACCATGAAGCATTTGAAAGTCCCTTAGTCCCTGCTTTTGAAAATCAGTGAGATTAAAAGTGTTTAATTTATCTGAATTGTGTCTTTAATGTTTAGCTGTAAAAAAGATCCTCCTCCTCCTCCATGCACAGCTATACTGCAAAAATATAATCGTGCCAGTTTTTTAAAATTTAATTTTATTTTTCGACTTGGGAAGTTTGTTCTGAAAACAAAAATGGAGTATCCCTTCTAAAGTTACCGAGCTCTGGAGAAGTGGCCTGCATGAAGAAGTGGCTTAATTCACCGTGGGAAGTCATGCATTCTGTGTATACTTGCATACTAATAGGCTTTTGCAGATGCTCCATTCTTCCGTGTTAATTGACTTTTGTGAGGGCACGATCACACCAGGGGTTATCCTTGACTGACATGAACTTTTGTTTATCACGCCCTAGCAGTTTGTCCGGGTTGAATTTGTAGCCATTGTTTACTCTGAAATGTTTCTTTATCCCTGGAAGGTACTGTATGTTTCAAGTGTCTACTCAAGGTCAAACCAGCTACATTTCTCCCCTACTTCCACACCACCCCTTTTATCCTCAGTCTTGCTCTGCCGCCTTCATTACCTCTTCCTCACTCCTGTCACTGGCCCCTTCACAGCAGTTGCCACTGTCAGTTCACCCGCACACAGCTGGTATGGACAAATCAATTAATCCCAACTTTTTGCAAGATATTAAAAATGTTACATTATACAAGTATACAACATGTACACAATTCGTGTCCCTGTAGCCTATAACCAGTCATTCAATTTTTTTTAAATTGTGGCTGATATAGCACTGATCTGAAACAGTATGAAGCTGGAAAAGAGCATGGCAGTTCAGAGAGAATACGCACTGTCCCTTCCCCATGTCTGTCTTTCCCTTAGCCTTTCCCCTTCCCTCCCCCTTGTTTCTCCCAACATTGCCCAGAGACTGCATGTTAGAAAGCATGCAGGATTGTTATTATCTCAACATGTGTGTGTTTGATTGAGTGAGCATGCTCACACTTCATGCAACTGCCTATTCAGAGTGGTTTGTTTGTGAACATCCTTTCAGCAGTTCCAGTCAGCCAGTGATCTGGCATAACATTGAATTAGGAAATCAACATTTAAATTTTAAAAAAATCTTCTTAGGAAAGGTAAGAGGATGTCAACCACTGGGCTGTGAACGTGATGGAACTTATGCTAAACCATCAAAACCTGACCCATCATTGATATGGTTAGGACACCACCCTCACTGCCCTCAAAGGACCGATTTAGGTGATCACACAAACCAGAATGCAAAAGAACACAGTGTGAGTGGAAACACTACAAAATAGGGCAGTCTCTACTGGCTGAATGAAAGGAAGCAAATGGCCAAGGAAAAAAAATCAGATGTATTTGTGATTAACTTTACATCAAGGAGTAGACAGACAACACATTGAAATTAACAGAGAGAATTGCAGCACAAACAGAGGGACAGTTTCTTCTTTCTATTTTTTTAAAAAAATCTATTTTATTATTCATGCATACAAACATATAAAACAACAAAGTAACCCCTTAGTAAATCGGTTATCAGCTGTAAAATGCCAAGGGGTGACGTAGTCCCTATCTTTATTGGGTTACTTAAGTCAAGATATGTAGTTTAATTCTCCACTCTGCTTTAAAAGATATTACAGTAACCATTTCGAACACACAATATTTTAATTTATTAATTTGGAAGTGGTTGCCCATATAATAACTGTGTGCTGCCAAGTTGATTTTGACTTACAATCCTCTTTCCTAGAATTTTCTAGGTATACTCAGAGCTAGTTTATCAATACTGCATTACGGCGCCACCACAGGTTGATCTTCTCCTGGGAGACACAGTGGGGAGATTCAAGTACTCTGACTCAGTGAGCTACGTATCCAACCAGCCAAGCCAATTAAAAGCCTGCTGAAAAAGGATAGGTTAGTGAGTTGGGTATCTGCCTAGAGAGCCAGAGGCTGGGAATATGATATTGTGCCTCCCAAGAGAAGAGCCAAACTGTGAAGCCTTGGACAGACTGTACAAATCCCAGAATATCTCCAAAAGAAGGGCATTATTTAAGCTACTTCTGAGTACATGACATCTAGAAAACCATGGGAAGGAGTGATGGCACTTATAATAATTAATTAATGTTTTCCAGTGGCAGTCCTTGTAGCACAGTAGTGTAAAATATGATGACGGCATGACGGAGCAACAGACACATGCTCTTCCTCTCTACTATGTATGTAGATATAATGTGTAACAAAAGTACTTTACATGGAAGTTTATGGAAGCCTAATTTGCATGATTTTTCTTTCACTCTTTGGAGAAGAAAGAATCCTGGGATGGTCAAAGCACTGGTGATGGCATGACGTCTTTCACCACATGTGAAGTCAGGTAACTTAAGGAGTGCATGGAAAGCAGTGTGACACACAGCTCTATTCTCCAATACTCCTATTGCCTCCCATGATCTGTCGCATGAAGTGACAACTTCCAAATAACAGAGTCATCTCTACATGCATGCGACTAAGTTTGGAAAAATACCTTTCCCAGAGAGCAATGTTAGTTGTTGTTTCTGAACTACACTTCCCAGAATCTCTCGGCCAACATTTGCACTGGCTGAAACAACTCTGTTCTTGAATCCCTGTACAGATGCCTGGCTTTTAGTTTTTAAATGTATGTGTTTTTAAGTTTTATTGTCCTTTACAGACTTTATTGGGCCTCTGTTCACCATTGCTTTTTGGGTACTTCTGATAAACAAAGAACAAGTTTGTCCACTTTAACAACTGCCTCTTCTACAAAATGCCACCCAACAAAATTATTCTCTTCAGCCAAATCCAGTGTGTCTCCACCCAGAGCGAGAAATAAGTCTTGTCTGCTTTGAAAAATGTGCCACCTACAGCGGAGGCTTTCAGGCAGCAATATTTTCTATCAGCAGTAAGGCTTGTTCATGAGTACAGCTTGGTCACAGAGATCATTCTTGAAAAAACAGTTTAATCTGGTTCTTTGCATGTTAGAAAGCCACACAAGTTTAATTTAACAGACCCAGATTCCAAGAAGCACACATTTTAATTTGACTACAATTAGTAATATCAGTTGATGTGTTTAATCATTATGCTTTTTAGTGGAGATGAAGAAATTCAATAAACCAGTTATTCCAAAATAGTCATTCAGTATATAAGACACAATCTAACAAATTATAAACACCATTAAGCCCCATTGATTTCAAGGGAGGACAGGTATTTCCCATGGAACCGAGTAGAAAATCAATAGGAGTTTGGCTGGATTGTTCCAGTAACATTGCCTAACTTTAAAGGCAGCATTGATTAAGCATTATGAAGTGTAAAAGATCCCTTGTCTTCCTAATACTACTATTTCATTTGATGTATATTATTATTGGTAGACAGACCATTGATGATTGCATCTGTAACTGTCATTCCTGAGAACATTATTGTATTTTTCCTTACTTAAATGAATGGTTATCTTTTGTACCTACGAAAAAGCAAAGGAAAGCAAAACATTTCACTTCTGGACTTGATTGTAGTGAGAGATGAATTTGTGATGCTCCCAGCCTTGGGGCCTTACTTGATGCTGTTCTTTACCTACTTGCAGAGCTGCAATTAGGGCAGCGCAACTGCCCTGCATGACACTCATACTGGTAGGTTTAGGCTTTGACCTAAACTTGGAGGGTACAAACTTAAGAGTGTGCAAACATTTCCTGCTGGATGGACATCAGCTTCTGCCCCTCTCTAGGCAAAAAGCAATATGATACTGAAGGGCTTGTATTGTGGATGTCATGCATTCTGACTCCTGTGCCTCTCCCCATTCCTCTTTTCAGTCCCCAGTGGCAATCTCATGTGGCCCAAACTTAACCAATTGGGCAGAAAACCCCAAGCACCAACATTACTAGTTACAGCTCTGCCTGCTCTCTATATGTGCTGGTGATGGAGGTAGTATTGTGTCCTTCCATCTCACTGGAAACCTTCATTCTAACAAACAAACTCCAGTGATACATATAGAGGTTCAAAGTTGCACATTCATACTCATGGATTAAAAAGTACGTGGTTGATGCCTGGATGTTAGCATTTGGAGCCGAATCCAGTGTACCCTACTTAAAGATTAGAATCATCCAGAAAACAGGAATTTCCAGAGCTTGGGCAGATATCATTGGGGAAGGTGGAACAGTGTGATGATCTCATTCTATCACTACAATAAGGAGAAGTTGAGAGGGGGAATAAGTCTGGGTAAAAACCTCTTTCACACAGAAGCTCCCGGCTTCAACCCCTGGTTGGAAAGGAATCTTCCCCAAGATCTTCGAGAGCTGGTGCCAGACAGTGTTGGTAATACTGGGCTAGCTGGGTTACAGATCTGACTCAGCAGAGGACAACTACCTATATTACTTTTTTTTTTTTAAATCAAGCTTGCTCTGAAGTCCTTGGTGGGGACATTGGCGAAACCTTTTTTAAAGTAGCTGACTGGTGAAGCTTAGTAAGAATGTTCCTGTTTGGTTATGAGGATGTACTGCAATATTTTGTTGCTGGTTTTAGTAGTAATCAAAATTTTCATAATCATATTTCTTCCTCTTTATAGTTTTTGATCTTCTTTCTACACCCAACCAGAAGCTAGTAAAAACCTTCCTGCAACAGGCATTGTCTGATCCTACACTGAATGACATATACATCATCTCAGCATTTAAACTGCAACCCAAAAGCACAGCAGTTGTATTTGGGCTGTACTCCTCCACTGAAAACAGGAAATATTTTGAGTTTACAGTGATGGGACGTGTGAATAAAGGTAAGTCCCAGGGAGTGAGCAAAAAGGTGAATAAGTGTTATATACCCTATGTTTAATTTGACCTGGATTCTACCTAGCCAGTTAAGAAGGTTTCTTGTGCAACATCCATGATCTTATATAATAACCTTTCATTTCAAGGAGATGAACAAAGCATTATCCGCTTGTAGTTTACATCCTTCTTTCTGATAAAATGTTTGTGAAACCACTCTTTTCCCTAATGTTTTCTCCAGACTAAGGTGTTTTCTTTTATGGGATGTCTTCTAGACCAGGAATGGCTAGCTTTTGTAATCATCATGATTGTTTTGTCTTAAGCATTGATCTGGGGGCTGGAAGTATGTTTCACACAGGTTGCAATACTGACTTTCTGCACTGGAATTCCCCAAACACTAACTGGAGTTCTGGTTCAAACATGTAACATTTCCACTGTTTATTTATTTTATTAATTTATTCGATTTGTATACTGCCCATGTGGCTAATAATACCACTTGGGGCAGTTCACAACACAGTAAAACAACAATAACAGATTAAATAATAACCACATAAGCATGAAAACAATATAAAAATCAAAATGAACATATATCAATTGATTAAACAATGTTATTAATATTTTATTAGCATTGACTTTCTTAACAATACAGGGGCGAGGGGGGGGAATAAAATGAAAAATTTGCATCCAGGAGATTAATGATGTTTATATTGATGGCAGCCTGCTGGGTAATAACAATGTGTTGGTAAACTGAAAGAGTCTTAACATTAAATTCCTGGTATTCAGCACTCTGGTGGCAAATTGCTCTGGCAGAAAAACACATGTGAATTAAGTGTGGTTAAAGATAAAACCAAAATATCAGACTTCTATGAAACATGGCATGATTTTATTTTATATGTGCATCAAAAAGTTACTCAGCATTTATGTAAGCTCTTTCTCAGAGTATGAAACAAGAATTAAGTGCAAAGGTGCTGGTCAATTACTGTAATAAATTCGGTTTAATTAAGTGCAAATTGTAAGATAATGAAAACTAAAATTTCCAAGTCATTAATAAATTTATGGTCTATTTATAACTGGAAGACAAAATGGAAAGATATGTTAAATATTGAACCTTCTGTCAGTAATTTGATTTCAATTTTGTGTATTTGTTTGTATTGTCCTTTTGTATATGTTTTCAAAGGCAATTTTCTCTGCTATTTTGGGTTTTTTTTTCTTTGTAATGTTGCAGATTTCATGGCCTGCTGGCCTTTGTGCAGTTGCTACATGGTGTCTGGGAGCAGAATAAAATCCTTCCATCTACCACATTCCTGAAACTGATGGTCTTCTGTTGTCCCATCTCTACCCCAAATCTTAGGTTTTACATTTCTCTCATTTATGAGAAAATATATTTTTTGTGAACCTGACAAGAATCAGGTCAGAGTATCACCAAAAGAGCATGGGGTAGACTGGGGAACTTTCTGTGTCTTCTTATTTGGGGGTTGGAGGGGTGTTACTGCACATTTCTGGTAGTGGCTGATTCAAAAAAAATTGGGTTGCCAAGAGTTAAAGTGTTTTGGGGGTAGCTCCAGCACATGGGTTTCTGGTTTGTTATTCCTTTTCTAGACCATTTTCTCATCTTTGACCTCTTCCAAATTCTTCCAAACTAATTGATAGCTTCTTCAGTTGTGATGCTCAGAGTTGATCATGGTTCTGCAGATGAAGTCCAAGCCCAGTGCAGTTCTGAAACGCTGCTTCTGTCTTCCACTGCCTGGTAGCATTCCTTTCTCTTCCATTTTTCACAGACATATGAGCATCATCTTTGGGTGAGACGGGCTTTCCTTTTGGGCATTTTTGCACAGCCTAAATTCTTCCTGCTGAGGGTTAGGGACTGGCATCTCTCTGCCAGTGGCCTTAATACTAGCAGTTATAAATTTTTTTTTTTAAAAAATCAAGTCAATGTCCATCCCACCCCCCATCTTTTTTCCCCCTTGGGAAATCACTGTTTCAAATTACTGAGGAATTTGATAGATATACACACATGCTTCATCCAGCATATGAAAGCTGGGAACTTAATTTTGTTGATCCCAGAGTTTAGCTTTGACTGCATAAGATAAACATTCCAATGGCAGAGGCCTTATAAAATCAGCCACATGACAGAAAGCGCTCTTGGTGAAGTGGAATGTACTTGTTTAGAGCGATGGCTCTAACTTGTGTGAAGCCCTGCCACAACATGGTAAATTCACGAAAGTGCAGCGTGAAAATTGTGTGATGTTATCTTCAAAGGGAAGAAAATGTATGGATAATGAGTATATTCTTAATATTGAATATTAAACTTGAATACATTGCTGTTTATAAATGTTTAAATAGAGTTGTCGGGTTTTATCTAGTCTTCTGCAAGGTGTCATCCTCTAAGGGTGTTGGACTATAAGCCTCATCATCCCCAGGCAACATGGCTGCAGATGATGGCAACTGCAGCATAATGATTTAGGAAATTGCCCATTGGCTGAAAAGTGAAAAAGCAAATCAGGGGATAGGGATTCAGCTTGGATCATTTTAAAAGACTGTAGCTTGGATGTGCTCCTGAATTCACAAGGGTGGATTCACAGGTCTCAGCAGTGCCCAGTAAGTGCTTTGGCACGGTTAATTGTGGTGTGCCTGTTGTGCCTGTTCTTTGAAATGTCTGTTCTGGCTAGAGTGCCACATATCTTAGTTACTTCCTTTCTGGGTCACTGCAATATGTTCTGCATGAGGCTGCCTTTGAAGAGTGTTTGGAAGCTTCATCTGGCTCAAAAATGCTACGGCCAGACTGTTGCTTGACACTGGTTACAGGTAACATATCACTGCCCTATTACAACAGCCTTACAGGCTGCAAGTCTGTTTCTGCGCCCAAGTGCCCATTATGGCTTATAAAGCCGTATATGACTTGGGTTCAGGATGTCTGAAGGACTAGATCACTGCATATGAGCCCCTCCGCTGTTAAGATCTTCTGTAGAGGCCTTTCTCTCAATCTCACCACCTCCACAGGCATGTCTGATGAAGATGTGAGAGAGGGCCTTCTTGGTGGTTGCTCCCACATTTCGGAGTGCAAAAGAAAGGGAGTCACCTATGCCGCTGATCACTGGATCACTGCATATGAGCCCCTCCGCTGTTAAGATCTTCTGTAGAGGCCTTTCTCTCAATCTCACCACCTCCACAGGCATGTCTGATGAAGATGTGAGAGAGGGCCTTCTTGGTGGTTGCTCCCACATTTCGGAGTGCACTTGCCCTGAGAAGCCAGGTTGGACCCTTCACTCTTTCTTTTCTGTCATCGGGCAAATACCGTGTTTCGACGAAAATCCGCTGTTAAGATCTTCTGTAGAGGCCTTTATCTCAATCTCACCACCTTCACAGGCATGTCTCATATTAATTTTTGCTCCTAAAACCGGAAGACATGGTCTTATATTAATGTTTGCTCCTAAAACCGTATTTGGGCTTATTTTCATTTATTCAGATACACTCGTGTCATCTTCTTCTGGTTTCTGCCCAATGCTTCCCAGTAGAGGAGGGTGGGGTTTCACTTAACTGGAGCTTATTTTGGGGGGTAGGGCTTATATTACGAGCATCCTGAAAAATCATACTAGGGCTTATTTTCAGGTTAGGTCTTATTTCTGGGGACAAAGTATGTTCCTTTTCAGGCAGGCTTTTAAGCAATAATTCAGGGTTTTAGGAATGCTGTGTTTGTAGAATTTAGAGATTTTACAAATGTTTTAAAAGGCTTTTTAATATGTTCCATTCTTTTTAGAATTGCTTATTATGGTGTTGTTGCTGTTTTAATTAAAGTCATTGTATAGTCTTAACAAATTATGGGTCACATTGACTTCTCTATGGAGAGAAAGGCAGCATATAACTGATTGATTGATTGATTTTTATCTGTACAACCAGTGACAATTTCTTCATATAAAAGGCCCTCCTTTCCCTCTGTCTGAAGGCTCCCGAAGGCTTCCCAACTGCAGAAAGGATCCTAGAGAGCCTTGGACCTGGTATGGGGATGGATGGACTTTGAATCAAATCAAATCCAATTAAATATTTTCATTTCCAAATGGTCACATCATCCAAGTTGCATGGTGCAAACTTTTGCTGACAGGATTTTAGCCAGAAGGAAAAAAGGACAATTAACTATGTAATTCTGGATCTTAGTTTTTGTAAAGATCTAGCAAATGATGTAGACCATGGTATTTACTATAAGATATTTTCACTAACATGCTCTAACTAAGAAATACAGGCAAGAGATAAAATAAATAGAATTCAGAAAATGTACAGGCCTAACATTTAAATGGCACTCTCATAGCTATGATGGCTGTATTTTTATATGGTCTCATTTTAGAACTGAAATAACTCTGGTCATGTTCATTGGCAGTTTATACTGGAAAATAGATAGCAGGAGTATCCTCCTTTCAGTTCTGTTCGACCAATTCAATGGATTTCACACCATTAGCCATAGTACTAAAGAAGTGAGGATGGATTTGGGAAGAACTGTCCTCCTTTGCCAAAGGCTTTGTGGATATGGAACAACTGATTGGTTCAAAATTGGGAAAGGAGTGCGACAAGGCTGTATATTGTCCCCCTGCTTATTTAACGTATATGCAGAATACATCATACGGAAGGCTAGACTGGAGGAAACCCAAGCCGGAATTAAGATTGCCGGAAGAAATATCAACAACCTCCGATGTGCAGATAATACCACTCTGATGGCAGAAAGTGAGGAGGAATTAAAGAACCTTGTAATGAGGGTGAAAGAGGAGAGTGCAAAAATGGTCTGAAGCTGAATATTAAAAAAACTAAGATCATGGCCACTGGTCCCATCACCTCCTGGGAAATAGAAGGGGAAGATATGGAGGCAGTGACAGAATTTATTTTCTTGGGCTCCATGATCACTGCAAATGGAGACGGCAGCTACGAAATTAAAAGACGCCTGCTTCTTGGGAGGAAAGAGATGACAAACCTTGACAGCATCTTAAAAAGCAGAGACATCACCTTGCCAACAAAAGTCCGAATA